TTCATCCCTGACACCACACAGGGAAAAAAAGAAGTATTGAATGATTTAGGGTAAATGGTATGTCGAGAGAGAGCACAATATCTTTTGAAAGATATAAAAACGAGGGCTGGAGAGATATATACTGTATAGCGGGTAGGGCACTTGCCTTGCATACAGCCAATCTGAGTTTGATTTCCCATATGGTCCCTTGAGTGCCATCAGGACTTACCCCTGAACACAGAGCCAGGAGTAAGCCCTGGGCACAGACAGGTGTGGTTCAACAACCAAAAAAAAAAAAAAAATTAAAATAAAATGAAAGCAAACAACCACCACAAAAAAGAAAGTCATGTCTTATTTTTCTTAAATGCAGGTGGCCAAAAAAATCAAGCATGATGTGCTGCTGCTCCAACTTCCAAGCTCTTCTACTAAGGAGAAAAGAGAGAAGAAAGTTCCTGCAATGTCTTAAAAGCATCTCTTGATCTCAAGCATCTGTGATCTCTCTCATCTGAAAGGAAAGGGCAAGGACACAGGCAGCGGAAGACTAAAAGGCTGTGTGCTGAGCTCTGCCTTTCCCATCAGCAGGTGGGAGACAGTTTGCACCCCCAACTCCACCCCTTGGCCCAGAAAAGATCTCAGATCACAGCTACCAATTACCACTGACCACAGTCCAACTGGGCCAATCACAGAAACGTGGGAAAATACACCCAATCAGAAAGGAGCCCTTAAGCCGAGGTTGGGAAGTGGATGGGGCCAGGTCTGAGATAAGATGTGTCCTTCCACTTTATCTGAAGGCAAAAGAGAGTCCCAACAGAATTCCCCACATCACATGAAAGTAAGATCAAAAAAGAGTGTGGTCAACATGCATAGCCAGTAAGTATGCAAATATATTACAAGGAAATAGAAAAGAATAGAGGCCAGAGAGATTGTACATGGATTAAGGGACTTGCCTTGTACACTGCCAACCCGATTCAATTCCCTGAGTACTACTACTCAGGATTCACTCCTGAGCACAGAGCCAAGTGTAGCCCTTGAGTATCACAGGCATGGCCCAATCTCCCACATCCCACAAACAACAACTGAAGGGTGAAAAAATGTTTATCAAGAGGTGAAGATAGAAAAAAAAGCTGTCATTTTCCAAAATTGTGGGATCCTACTTAGCAATAGATAGCATTGTTTTAGTTTGCTTTTTTTTGGTGCTGAGGATTGAACCCAGGCCCTTGCATATGCAGAGCAAATACTCTTCTGCTGAGCCATATCCTGGTCCTACCACTGTTTCATCTCCTAAGGGAGGGGATTTGGTTTGGGGGCCATACCCAGCAGTGCTCAGTGGATATTCCTGGCTTTGTGCTCAGGGATCACTCCTGGTGGAGCTTGGTGATTGAACCTGAAATGGTTGCTTGCAAGGCAAGAGCCTTAACTCCTGCACTAGCAATGCTGGGCACACTGATGAAAGTAATAATATGAACAAATCTTAAAATACTTATGTGAAGTCAAATTAAAATATATATATGTATATTCACATTTTAATCCTCTTGCAAGCAATACTCTTCCATGGCAGAAAATGTCTCTAAGGAGGTGGGGGTTGAGAGAAGGTGTGGGGTTCTTAATACTCACACTCTTTAAAAATTTTATTTGTTTATGTTGTTGAATAACTGTGAGATACACAATTACAAAATTATTTATATAATAGGGTTTCGGTTATACAATGTTCCAAACCTGTCCCTTCACAAATGCACATTTCCCACCTCCAGTGTCCCAGTTTCCCTCCCACACCACCCTGAAGCCTGCCTCTATGACAAATACCTCTCTCTCTCTCTCTCTCTCTCTCTCTCTCTCTCTCTCTTATCTCCTTTTGGCACTCAGTTCTTGTCCAGAGTGATCATTTCCAATGATTAATGTCAAAGTTAACACCCACATTCTTAAAGGGTTTGAGGTCTAGGGCTTGGGGAAGATATCCACCAGGAGGTTAATATTTGGCACATCTGTATGAATGTATATCATATTGAATGTGTATCATATTGAATGTATATCATATTGAATCTAACTATCTGGGAGTGCTTGGGAGGTGGGGGAGGCATTTCTGGAGACACCAGCCCATCTAAGTGGCCTGAAGTTTCAGTGCTGTGTAGGGACTCCAGTGCCACACAATAGGCTGCTGGGGGTGAGAGGCATATGGCACCAGGGAACTCACTCTGGGCCTCGTGTTGCAAGGTTACAACACTGGCCTTTGAACTATTCCCACCAGTTTAAATAGATAGAACCTAAAAGCGATGATTCTGTATGCAATCACTAAGGGAGTGAGGAGAGACAGGAAAAGAAACTAGTGTAAGGGCTGATCCCAAGAGCACGACAACCTCAGAGGACAAGAGCAGGAAGAACCAGAGCTGGAGAGATGGCTCTGAGGCCCGCATGCTTGTTGTGCAAGCAGGAGGCCTGGGCTCCGTTCATGGCAACACACAGGGTCTCCTGAGCACTGCTGAGTGTGGCTCAAATGCAGAACACACACAGACCAGAAAGAACCAGCAAAGAAGACAAGAAATGGCTAATTAGTTCAGAGGAAAACAGGGAACATGTGGGATCCTGGGTGCTGAAGGAAGACAGTGGGCCAAGTGAGGGGCCACAATTTGGCCCAGTAGTCAAATGCAATCCTTGATGCACCAGGCCTGGGTCAGCCATTCCATGCCCCATCCCCCAAATAAAGTGGTCCATGAAAGGGCGTACTTAACTGTTTCCCAATGCTTCTGACGGGTACATAAGATAAGCTAAGACAGACCAGGGGTGCAGTGAGCTGGAGGTTGTGCAGTCAGGGAGGAGCTGGCCAGGGGGAATGGAGCTGAGAAAGGCGAAGGCCGGCTGGGCAGTGCTCACAGGGGAACAGGGCCCTGGGGTGAGCCCAGGAAGCTGTTGGATTCTGCCATAAAAGGCAGGAGTACTGCTTGGGGGAGAGGACAGGCTGTAGCAGTCATGATAATATAAGATGCTTGCCAAGGAAAGAGCGAGTCAGGGCAGCTGCAGGAGAAAGGGTGCAGGGCCGGGGGTGCCGGCTGGGGAGCTGCGTCTCACCGGCCAAGGGTGTGTAGCAACAGCCCTCTCACCTGCCTCATCTTCCTCAGTCAAAGCAGCAAATCCCCCTCCTTAAGGACGGCCCCAAATGGCAATCTCATCTTGGGGTGGGGGTGGGAATCCCCAGAGGTGCTCAGGGGACCCGGGGACCCTTCCTTGTATCTGCCTAGGCAAACAGTTCAATGCAAGAGTCTTAGGACACAGTGGGATCTGCTCAGGCTATCCCCTGAGCAGAGGGACTCTGCGGGTCTGGAGACTTGCCCTGGCCATGGGGTGCTGGGCTGTGTGTACCCTTATCCATGAACTATTTTCCCCACCCAATCGCACTTGGGAACAATACAGGATAGAGCCTGTGGAACAGTCTGCAGGGTTACTGCTCCATGCCAGCACAGAGGCCGATTAATGCCTGTGTGCACGCCTCATGTGCCCCGCCTCCCCACCCTTACTCCAGGCTTTGATGGCCGCAGGAGACCCCGTGAGCACACAGTGGGGCCCACCCAGAACATATTCTTCCTGCAGCAATTCTCCGGGAGGTTCCCAGGGCTTTGGCGCTGCCAATCCTCTCTCCTTCTCTGAATAATAACTCTCACCTAAGGCCTGAGAGATAGTACAGGCACACATTTGTTGCATCGAGCACCGCCAGGGGTCACTCCTGAGCACAGGGTCAGGAATAGCCACTGACCACCACCAGGTGTGGCTCAAACCAAACCCAATAAGGAAAAGAAATGAAATCTCACAATATGGGTCAGAGAAATAGTACAGCAGGTAGGGAGCTTGCCTTGCATGTGGCCAACCCAGCTTCTGTCCCTGGCACCCCTTATGGTCCCCTAAGTCCCACCAGAAGTGGTCCTTGAGCAGAGCCAGGAGTAAGCCCTGAGCAGTGCTGGTTGGATGGCCCCGAAAACCAAACAATCACCACAAAGCCATGCACAGTCACAGCACCGCCTCTTCCTCTTCTATACAAGTCCCTTCGCCCAACCTGGTCCTTGGGAACTGCTTTTAGTTTGAAGTGGCTATGGCACCTGGAAGGGGTCCGACCTGGAGCAGACATGGTCGTGTGGTCTTTCCTCAAGACAGGATGAGCATTTTCATCAGTGGACTCCCAGGGAGATCGACTGTGCTCCAGAACATGGGCGACTCTCACCCAGCAAGCGGGGAGACCTTCAGAGCCACAATCAAGGCCCCCAGAAAAGAGGGAAGTCAAGTCCACCTCCAGATGGCAACGAGCAGATTCTGCCCACTCCCAGCTCTCAGACACGAAACTGCTCATCAGCACTTGCCAATGTTCCAAGCTCTGCACATGTGGAGTTTTCTGGCTCCCCGGACTGCACAAACCAATTCCTGAAAAGAAATCTCTATTCTTGCTCTCTCTTAGTTGGGGCTGTTTCTCCAGGGAACTCTAGTTCCTTCCTTTGGAGTGCGCTGTTTTAGAGTTCAGAGTCAGTGTCTGGGTTTTACAAATATGTTGACTCCCCAACAGTAGGAAGAGAAGTCATCATCAGTGACAATTTGCTATTAAAATATCAAATAAAGTACATGCTGGGGCAGATCTCAGCATGTCAGGTGTGCATAGTACAGGGTTCAGGGACCTGCCTTGCGTGCAGTTCACCCTGAACTGAGGATCTCATACTCCCTCTTCCCCAGTAGCTGGAGAATTCCCCTAGCCCAGAGCTGGGAGTACCCCCTGAGCACTCCCCAGTGTGGCCCCAACCCATCTCCTCACTCTAACACACACACACACACACACACACACACACACACACACACACACACACACACACACACTTTTCTGTCTATCCACATACTTACCACAGAGAAAGGCTCAGGATTTCAATCACTGCCCCTGACACCCTGAAAGCAAAGGTGTCCTTGAGCCCTCCGGCCATGGAGAGCCACTTGTTCTCTTTCCTACCCGAACAGCACCACCCTGTGGAGAGGATGTGTTGTGCAAAACTTACTCTGCACCGAGGCATGCCCGGTTTTCTGCTGGTGACACCAGGAGAAGCAATGAGGACTCACTGACTCCACAGGGGACGGCAGCTGCAGTGAGCATTCCGGGCAGCCACCTGCAGCAGGAAACACACGTGAATGTAGGCTGAGGAGAGTGTGAACCTTTCTGACACAGTAGGCCACGTTTGCCGAGACTCTGGGGGTGGAGGGACCACAAGCTCAGGAGCCCAGGTTCTACCACCGCATCACAGCCCCTGCCTACCTTGACACTCTGTGGGGTACAGCCCTGGGAGCCCTCAACACCTTTACATCCTAAAGCACCACAGGCCTGAGAATTGAATCATCTGGAGAGGTTTGACTGAGTATCACTGGGCGTGAGTCTCAGATTCCCCTGAGCACTGCTTGGGAGAAACTCCTCCCCTCTCCCTTCCCCTCCTGCCCCCTCTGCAAATACTAACATGGGAACATCAGAGGGCAAAGAACATTATGTTCACTGGACACATCTGCGGCATTTTTCAGGTCCACATGTAGGGGTGGGGAGAGGAGTGAGAGAAGAATGGAGAGGAGGATTCGAAAGTGGAAGGAAACTGAGCTGGCATGTTCAGGACTTTGGATCTGAACCTAGGGCAGAGGGAAAGTGCTGGAGGTGTAGGGCAGGAACAGAGCAGGACCTGCCTCACTTTACCCACGGATTGGAGGAGGATTGTAGTAGGATCCTAAGAGCTAGCAGGGCATGCATGGGGGGACAGTCCACTGGGATGCAGCCACCACAGAAGAGAGAAGGCAGAGTCTGGGCCCGACGCAGAGGTGGCAACAAGGCCAAGCAGAGGGAGAGGAGGTGCCAGAGACCAGGGTCAGCCTGCCTCTGTGTAACTGGTGGGGGTGCCTTTCACTGAGATAAATGAGGGCTGTGTTATTGGGAGGGGTTGGGCCGTGCCGAGGGATGGTAGGGTGCTGGGGGTCAGGGATCCAGCCAGGGCTGGCAGTGTGCAAGGCAAACACCTTAACCTCTGCGCCATCTCGCTGGCCCTGTTTTGGGGTTTTTGTTCTTGTTTGTTTTTTCGGATCACACCAGATGATGCTCAGGGGTTACTCTTGGCTCTGCGCTTAAGAATCACTGCTGGAGGGCTCAAGGATGGGATGCTGGAATCATAACTGAATTGGCTTCGTACAAGGCAAATGCCCTCCCCCCGGTACTATAGCTCCGGCCCCAGTGTGTTATTAAGTAGAAGTCAAGCGAGGGGCTGGAGAGGTAATACAACAAACAGGGCACTTGTCCTGCACATGGACGACGCGGTTTGATCCCTGGAACCCCATATGATCCCCCGGACCAGACCAGGAACCACTCCCGAGTGCAGAGCCAGGAGTAAGTCCTGAGCACCATTGGGTGGAACCAAAAATAAAAAACAAAACAAAAAAAAAAGGTCAAGCACATATGCTCCCCTCAAAATATATTTCTGTGGGACCACACCTGCTCCTTCCAGCTAAGTTAATTAACCCACACCCAAGCTTAATTCCACCAGCTATCCTGTTTCTTAATCTGTGTGCAAATCCGCCAAGAGTCTGCATTGCTACCTGGAGAACACGCAGGCGCCTGCAGAACGTTACTGAATCACGAGCACAAAAGGTCAGAACAGTCCCCTCCACAGCAACTGAAACAAGTCCTGGAGCAATAAAATGTTTCATAACTTTTTAAAGAATTTTTTGGGATGATGGGGAGTAGAGTGATGTTTGGGTCACACCAGGAGGTGCTCAGGAATTACTCCTGGCTCTGTGCTCAGGGATCACTCCTGGCAGTGCTTGGAGGTCTTTTGGGGTGCCAGGGATTGAACCAGGGTTGTGGCAGACAGTCATATGTTAGTCAAACACCTTAACCTTTGTATCTTTGTGGTCCTTGCTATAGTCTTTTTGCATTTTTTGTTTTTTTAGGCCACATCTGCAGTGCTCCGGGCTTACTTGTAGCTCTGCACTCAGGAATTACTTCTGGCAGTGCTTGGGGAACCATATGAGATGCCAGAAATCGAACTCTGGTCAGCCATATGCAGAGCAAGTGCCCTACCAACAGGAGTATCCAGTTCCTATAAAATCTAAATATTCTGCTATCAGCTGTGTCCACTAAAAAACTTGTAGAAACTAGCTTCTCCACTTTTTTCTCCCCACTGATGATATTAATGATATTAATGCTATTATTATCATTTAAAAGATCTCCAGACTAAAAAACTTCCGCCCAACTGAAATTACTGCATTTCTGTGAACTGCATTGATGTCTTTCTTTCACTTTCTAGACTTAGAAATGAGAACTGCTACTAAAGGCAGTTCCAAAGGCTTCTCCAAAGCAGAAGGAACATCTTATAAAAATGAATTTAAGTGAAAACTGTACATCTGATTAGGTGTACAGCTGGTCGAAAAAGATGATTGTACATTTTAAAAATCAGTGTACCCAGGAAACCAACAGCATTTTTGTGGTGCTACTGCTTCCTAGAATTCTGAGAAAGACTTTCCATTTCTGACAGCAAGAGTCATCTGCCAAAGAATATTACCACAGGACTGCATCAGTAATCCCCAAGGTAGAATTTGAACAGGAATATGAGGGACACCAGGGCCTACCATCCATGATGGTTGAGCAGAAGTCTGCTTTGGGTTAGCAGCAGCAAGATGCAAATAAATCTCCACAATAGTCAGCAAGAGTGAAGGAAGGGGAATAGACCAGGAGAGAAGCAGGTAGATTACGTAGAGTTTTGAAGCCACTCTAGGAGTTTGGTTATGATTCTGATGAGAAATCACTGGGTAGATTTTACAGGGAAGTGAAACTTCTGATTATACTTGCAAAAAATCATGGCTTTTTTTTTTTTAAATCATGGCTGTTTAAAAAAAGGCTTAGAGAGGAAGAAGGGCAGAAACAGGAAGAGCCAAGAGGAGTCTTCAGAGTCACGTAGGTAAAAAGAATGGTGAGGGAGTATCTGGGAGAGGGAGAGTAAAGGGCTATATTTGAGGCAGCTTTCTCAAGGTGACATCAACAGAATTTTCTGAATGCTTGAATGCGGGGTCTGTGGCACAAAAGAGGTACAGGGGGATTCTTGGAGTTTCAGTCTGGTTGACTGGCAGCGAAGCTTGCTGAGACTGGCAGAAGCTTGCTGGTACAGTTAGCTGAAGGGGAAGCAGAAAGAGGAGGAGATAGAGTTGTGGTTATCAGTATGTCTGTCTGGACATGCTAAATGCCCCAAGATTTCTATGTGGAGGGCTTGAACCAACGCACAGCTAGGTGTCGGGAACCGGAGAGAGAGAGAACAGGGGTTAAGGAGCTCACCTTGCTTGCCACTGAACCCAGTTTGATTTCTCACACCTTCTAAGATCCCCCCCACACCAAAAGGTCTGACCCCTGAGAACAGAGCCAGTCCTGAGCACCACCCAGTACAACTCCCAAACCAAAAACCAAAAATAAATAAGCAAATATATAAATAAATAAATAACACAACAGATACATGTACTGGGAACACAGGAGAGAAGTAAAACTAAGAGACAAAATTTGGACATCATCAGCTCATAGATGCCACTCATAGCCAGTGGGATAAACAAGATCCCATGTAACAGCCTGGGAGAAAAACTGTTTCAGAGGGTTGGGGAGAAAGAGATGAAGCAGTAGAGCACAGGCCTAGTGTGTGCAGGGCCCTTAGGTCCCTCCTGGTACCGCATGGCCCCCTTGCACCTCTGGGAGTGGCCCCTATAAATTAACAACAACATAAAGGTTTTTGACCCGCCAGACAATATGGCCAAGAAGTGATCTGTAACATGCAGGGGCTGAGGGCGAGGAGCTGGAGACACAGGAGGAAGCTGGAACCCAAGTGAAGAACAACAATGGTTGGAGAGGTCCATTAAAGTCCCAGAGGCCAACGCTGGCCAGCTCCCAAATGACCAAAGCAGGATGCAGGGAGGCTAGGATTCTGGAAACAGATCGAGAGGGTAGCCTTTCATAGTGTTAAGTATTGGTGTGTGTGTGTGTGTGTGTGTGTGTGTGTGTGTGTGTGTATCTTTTTAATAAAGGGGGGCAAAGACATGGATGCGACTAACACCGGGGTGCAGGCAGCGGGAGTACTTACAACAAGCGGAGCTATCCTTAGAAGGTTGGTAAACGAATTAATAGGAAATGAGGAGCAAACCGGAGACTCACAACAAACAGTGCTCGAGGCGGTTTCAGCTCTCAAACAGTGCTCAAGGCGGTTTCAGCTCTCGGATCCGCAGACACCTGAGAACCAGAAATTCAAGTTAGACCTGGAGCCTGTTTTTACAGATTTTTTCATAAATGAACCGCAGGGGGTGGGTGCGGGGGGGGGGGGGTGCACCTGGTGTAAAGATTGAAAACCAGCTATCGGCAACCAGCCCGGGCCACTATTTCCTCCAAATAGGTCGGGGAGCAGAAACCACCGAGCCAGCACCCCCGACTCCCCCATCCGCGGCGCCCCTGCCCTCGCTCGGGGTTCTCCGGGTGGAGGATGAGACAGGAGCTGGTCCGAGGGGTGCAAGGCCGGCCCGCGTGCCACTTGCCTGCGAGAACCGCGCTGGGGGTCTCGGCTGGCCGGGGGCTCCCAGGGGGCGCGCCCGGCCCGCGGCTCAGTCCCGGCCGCGCCTGGACCGCGCCTGAATCGCCCGAGGAAGCGGCGGGCGGAGCAGGAACTTGGCGCGGGGGGACGGACCAGTTGCTCACGACAGCCCGGTCTGGGATCCCCGGTAAAAGCCCCCCTGCGGGGGGCATTCCTCCCTCCGCTTCCTTTAGCAGGCCACCCGGCGGGCCACGGTTGCAGGGGCGGGAGGCGGGGTGCATTGTTCCGTTCAGGGGCGCCCCCGAAAAAGCAGTCACGTAAAAGAAGCACCCGAAGTCAGCCCCCGATGCAGAATGTGATCAACACAGGAAAGGAAAGGCACTGGAAGTGGCCAGTACCGACCCAGTCCCTCAAGGAATCAAAGGTTAAAGAAACAGGTATTACCGCCCCAGAAGAGTTTGTGGCAGCTGGAGGTCATTTAGTCCATCACCATCCAAAATGCTATGGGACTCCAGAAGAACTGAAAGTGACGAACGCTTAAGCAACAGGAAAGCAAATTCTGCCACCAAAAAAGTGACATGCCATAAAAGGTGTAAAACCGATGGAATATTCGGGTGAACGGGAAGCAATCGAAGAAGATGGTGCTGGGGATGGATGGAAAAGCATCATAACGCAGGTGTTACAGGAATCACCGAAGCAGTTAAGGAGATCAAAAAGGGAAGCAATGACAGTAGAAAACTCCAAGATTGCTCAGGGTGATGTGAGGAAGAAAAGGAAGAGGAAGGAGAAGCTGCAGATACGGGGTGGAAAAAAGGAAGAGTGGACTTTTGGAAACAAATGAGGCCACTGGAGACACAAGAAAAATAGTTGGATCTTATAAAATCAAAACTGAGGCTGAAAGTGAAGATGCTATTTTGCAAACCAAAACTTATGACCTTTACTTACCCATAAATCTTATTAGACATTCTGGCTACGGTTCTTTTAGCAGGCCGGCCTTTAACAGTTTAGCAACGGCAGCCTTTAACAGTTGAGAACGTGTATGAAGAGATTAGTGAAGATTATGTAAAGAAAAGTAGCACTGTAGCACTGTTGTCCCGTTGTTCATCGATTTGCTCCAGTGGGCACCAGTAATGTCTCCACTGTGAGATGTTGTTACTGTCTTTGGCATATTGAATACGCCACAGGGAGCTTGCCAGGCTCTGCCGTGCGGGCGGGATACTCTCGGTAGCTTGCTGGGCTCTCCGAGAGGTACGGAGGAATCGAACCCGGGTTGGCCGAGTGCAAGGCAAACACCCTACCCGCTGTACTATAGCTCCAGTCCGTGAAGAAAAGTAGCCACTTAAAATCACCTCATCTCCCACTGCCTCCTATGTGTTCAGTTCACCCGTGCAGGCATGCTGAGATGAAGAAAATCATTGAGACAGTTGCTGAAGAAAGGGGAGAACTTGGGTGTTCATATATTCAAGTTTCCTTGAAATTTGTAAATGCTGACATTGTAACAATCGAATAAACTACACAAGACACTTCACAATGAAGAGATCATAGAACATGTCCTACCTATTAAGTTCTGATTTTTAAAGAGTTAACTAAAAAAAATTAACGTAGATGTTACCATTAATCATATTCACCAATATGTACAGTTTCCTTAATAAAATGACTTACCTATTTATACATTAAATAAAAATTGCCACTATCATCTGTTTAATAAAAATAGGTGTAAAGAGAAAAAAAAATCACCTCCCAATAAAGCCAATACTTAATCCTACTGCCCAAGTCTACCTCAGGCTCCCAAGCTTTGACATATTCAATAAACCCAGTCAGGAGATGAACCAGCCGCCACACACTTTTTAATTCCCAGAAAAACTCTCCTCAAAAAACAAACCAAAAAAAGAGAGAAGCCAAAGAAATGAAAGAGAAAAAAAAGAAAAAAGAAAGAAAGAAAAAGAAAAAGAAACAGAAAGAAAAGGAAAAAAGTCCTCCTCTCTTTTCTCAGTGGGACCTTAAGTGAAAACCCAAAGCAGGGAGGAAATACTGCCCCAAGCCAAAGAGCATCTGGGGCTCCCAAGAAGTGTGGTGCAGACCAGTGCACAAGCAGGAAGTTTGAGGGAGATTCTGTTAATGATGCAAGACTGTTGGATTAACAGACCTGCAGCACTAGGAGGTTGTGTAGACCCAGGGGAGAAGAGACTTGCTTTCCACACATTTCTGACTGAAGCTTCATTTAGCTGACCAAGCTGTCAAAGCAGCTACCTTAGTGTCACATCACTTGTTGTTTGGGTGAACAAGGGCCCTCAACACATGCAATGGTGGTTCCACCTCAAACAGCCTCAGGGTAAACCTGACTTTACTATCTAGGTTGGTGGAATGATACCATAGCATGTTTGCTCAAGGACAAAATTGCCTACTGTACCTTGTCTCAGAATATATCTTTGTCATTAATCCACACACCACTGTACACACAGGTTCCAAGAAGGAAAGAAAAGCATGCATAAAGAAAAATCAGGGCCAGAGGGAAAGCACAGGGGGGGGGGGGGGGGTAGGGGGTAAGATGCTGGCCTACCCAGGTTTAATCCCTAAGATCTACCAGGAGTGACCTCTGGATGTAGTCAGGAGAAGCCCTGAGCATTGCTGGGTGTAGCTACCCCCATGCCACAGAAGAAAACACTCAGTGCAAGTAAACCCCAAATTAGATAAATATACTCAAGGAAACAGAATAGGAGCACTCATAACCTTAGAATGGAGAGTGTCTTTAAAAAGATAAAAATTTCACAATGGGGATAAAACTGATACATTTCATTAGCAAAACCAGAGAAGGTGTCTGAAATATAACCAAAGGAAATGCAAATTAAGCAGCAAAGGGTGTAATATCAATGTACATATATATGTTAGTTGTGAAGGTTATACATGGCAGTGTTGGGGTGGGGGAGCATGATACTATGATACAACTCAGGGTCTCACTTGAGTCACTTAGCTGACCCCATCCCAAACAAAGAACTGGAAGACATCAAAATGATGATGGTCTTATAAGTTTTATTCTTTGAATCATTATTTCTTGAAAAATTTAATGTTGCCTTTAAAACCCAGGAGCTTTAAAAAAAATCTATAATCATACCAAATATGGAACCTTCCAATGCCCCAAGTGAAAATGCTGATTGGCAAAACTGATCACAAAAAGCTGATGGGTCAGGGAGGCAGCTCAAAGAGTTGCAATGTATAGTTTGCAGCAGTGAGCCAGGAATGATCTCCCAAATAGTAATAAGAATGTTACCTAATATAGATGAGGAACACATATTCCGTAAGCAATCCATTCAGCTCTTAGTCATAGTCTCAAGAGATCAACACATGTGAAATAGGACACGTGTAAAAATTATTTATGGTATATTTGTTTATAATAGCAAAAACCTTGAGACACAAAACTACAAAACCTTGGAGGAGTAACACTCTTGCTAGATGGCGATAGATATAATGAAATGAAAACAGACTACTGACAGGTGTCAACACGGATGAGAGCGAAAGCATGTTGCCAAGAAATACAATATTCTATACATCAAATAAAATCTAATACTCTAGGAAGACTTATTATTTATGCTCAATTTTAAAGACTGTTTTTCAAGAATACAGGTATTAGTACCGGTTGCAGTCCTCAGACTAGACTTTTAGGGGCTGAGAAGTCCACGATGGGCAGGAGAACATGCAGAGACACATAACTTAAGCAGTGATTTTTAAAAACCACAAATCAATAGAATCCATGTTGATTGGTAAAAATCCATAGCATTTTGTTAGCCTTCATGTGCTTTCACTCTAGCCCAGGGATATTTGGGGGATCTGGGGGCAGCTGGTTGTGTTCAAGGACTAGTCCTTGCTCCATGCTTGAGGATGTCTGCTGACTACACAGGAAAGCACTGCTGGGATTGATTCTGGGCTCCAGCATGTAAAGTATATGCATAGTGCGTTAGAAACACTACAGCCAGTGTTTCTTACCCTGAACATTGATTATAAGTGTATGTGCTTTATAATTTTAAGTTATGCTTTTTTTTTGGTCATTGGTGTTCAAAGGCTACATGCGCCAAGGACTATTTGGTGCCAGAGGTTAAATTTTCCCATATGCAAAGCAGGAACTCAATCCATAATTTATGTCTGGCCCTAACCTGTGCATGCTGAATACTCTTAGGTGGGTATTAAATGACAGGCTTCACAACTTTTGAAATTAAAATATTCATGTAAAAATAATCACGATTTTATCTCGGGACTGGATAGTGCAGTGAGGCACTTGCCTTACACATAGTTGACCCAGGTTCAATCCCCAGCACCCCATAGGTATGCTGACAGGAGTGATTCCTGAGCACAGAGCGAGAGGTAAGTAAGCCCTAAAAACCACTGAGTGAGGCCCAACACTCAGTTCCTCGAAAATACCCAATACAATTGCATCTATAAAATCAAAATGCATGTGGATTGTGGGTAGATTTTAGTTTTTGAACCATTATTACTCCAATTAATATGTACTGCCATTTCTTTCTCTTTTTGAGCAGGAGGATGGGAGGGGAGGGGGGATAGGTTTTGGGCTAAACTCCATAGGGCTCAGGGGTGATTCCTGGCTCTATGCTCAGAAACAGAGCACAGGGGAACCTAAGTAATATCAGGGATCAAACCAGGGGAACCAGGTTGGCTGCATGTAAAGCAAGTACCTTACCTGCTCTGCTTTCTCTCTGACCCTGTCAATTGCTTTTAAGATAGTGGTTGTCATTTGTTAACTGCCACACTAAAAAAATTATACTACATCATTTTTGTTTCTTCTTGTGTATCTTGAAGAACTGTGATCAATCCTAATGATGGTACCTTGTAGATAAAATGGAGGAATAAGGATAAAAAAATGGCATATTTGGTGGTTCAGGGATATCATTTCTGTATTTTCCCCCAGAATTTTGAAACAACTGAGAAGAAATTAGGCAGGACATCAAATATCATCTTTATTATCAACAAAGTCAAAGAACATGTTTTTTGATCCGTAGCAACAGGGATTATCAATATCCCTGGACAAGGGATTCATCCACTCAAATGCTGGCATAGTTAGACAACAGTGGGGAGGCAAAACTAAATTTTCCAGGGAAAGTCTGTAGCCCACATGCCTGTTTCCTCCTATAACACCATTAAGTATCTTAGACCTTTAGAATCCATTTGCTCCTAAATGTGATGCAACTTGGCTACTGTTTAGCTAACCCGTAGCTTATAGTCATTCCTAGAGATCAGACTATCTTATTTCATTTTTATAACCTTTAGCAGATTATGTATATAACCATTCAAACAATTTTATATTTGTGTCCACACTTAAGAACCCATATGAAGAGACCACCTTTAGAATCAAGAACTAGAATTGAACTAATGATAAAATATGGCTACTGTTTATATTAAGTGCTTGTATGTGATAGGCACTGATTGTAGTGTTCCATAGGTATCACATTATTCTCTCATTATAGAAATAGGAGGAAAGAATTATACAGACCTAATCACTTGTGAGGTTGCATAACTATAATCTGACCTTGGCCATGACTCCAATGCCAAAGCAATGAACCTCTCAGCCTTCGGAGATGTATCCTTGGTGCTGGTAAGGCAATCCTGCACAGTGTGAAGAGAGGGCTTAGAGTTGCTGTCCTGGCTCTTATTTAAGCACTACTAATTACTGTGATATGGTCAAGTTCCTATGCCTTCAATTCCTCATCTGTAAAATTGAAATAATATTGCAAAGAAGACCAATACAAAGATGGCCAATACATGGTAACACCTATTACCATGGCACTTAACCCAGGGTAAGAATTCAATGTCAGCCAGTTTTTATGGTTATTTCTCTGCTACTTTTGTATGCCCAGGTACCAGAACATTCCCTATGACTACAACATGATGGAAAAGTAAAACACTGAGGAAACTTGGTATTATACAAACTAAGGTTAAGTTACTTTTTTAAAAAGAGTTTTCTTGGGAACTGGTGGCTTCTTTTTCCCCCAAATTTTTTTGGGAAGTTGTTGGGAGGTTTGGGCCACCTAGTGGTGCTTTTGGGCTATTCCTTGCTTCGTGCTTAGAAGTCACCCCTGGTGGTGTCCAGGGACCATATGCAGTGATCCAAACCAGTGGAAGCCCTGTGGCTACATGCAAGGTACTTACTGTCTTACTGCCTGGTACAATCTCTTTAGCCCCTCACCCTAACTTTTAATGAGAAATGCAAAAAGGCTAGAAATGAGGTAAGTTAGCAAGTTAGAGGTGGTTCTGTTGAACTTTCTTTCTTGGCCAGTGCTTATGACATTCCAGTAAAATGTCAAATAATCACTCTTGTTACAAGACTTTACTATGAGCTTCATGTTTTTAAGTTCCCTTAAAACCTTTAAAAGATTTAAATCCTAACAGAAACAAAGTGAGTTTGTTTAACGGTATTTTATTCTACGAGAATTGCCGGTACAATTCTGCAGAACTGACACCTGCTTAGAGAAATTTCTTTTTTAAAAATAAATGAAAAATCCTTTGCACTCTATATATTACTTTTAAAAAAACAAGACCTACAGGGTCATTCTGTTCTATTAAATTATAAATGTTACACATTTAAAAATGAAGCAAAAATGAACAGTACAGAGATTTAATTAAAATCTTTCGAAGAATAAAACTGCTTTTCAGTACTACATATTTAGTTATCAAGCCAGGATGAAAACTGTCAACTACAAATGATTGTTTAACTGGAAAAAAATATGCTTAACATATTAGCAAAGTATGTCCTAAAATATATCTTTACATGGTCAAAATTTTACTATAAAATTTATATCAAGTCCCTTCCATTGTTCTATTTAAATATATATACAACTAATAATGTTTAAATATGTACTCTGAGCCATTGGTCCAAACATAAATATTTTGGTAATTTCAACTTTGCTACAAGTTGTCAAAAAAATTTTTTAAAGGAAAAAAGCTGAGCGACAAATTATATAGGAGGAAGAAGAAAAGTTTTACTTAAATTTATGTGTGGATAAATATATATTTTCTAATTTATAAATACATACTCAGTTAAGTCCATCAAACTTTAACCAATTAACTTATACTGAACAAAGTCCATACTACTTTCCATACCCAGTAACAGTGTTGATTTTTTAAAAGTTTAATATGTCAACTTCATCAAAAGTTATTCATGGTAATAATCTAGTACCAGAAGTTCAGATAGGCTGAGATTAAATAACTGTATTATCTATCTAAACTCAGCACAATAACAATGCCTGCCTTTGCTTTAATGATGACTAAGTAATAGTATCTGAATACACATAGAAGACAGCAACCAGGAAAGAACATTTTACATAAGTCCATGCTTATCAATCACATTAACATCAGTGCTTAAAAATGTTTCAAATCTAAACATACAGGGATACTTATAAAGTTGCAGGACAATCCTACTAGAAGAAATCAAATAGATGAATCTGCAAACTTTTAAACTTAAGTCACATTTTAACCCACTGGTAAACATTAAGGAATAAGCTAATGAGTCTTTAAGACTTTTGGAATTAAAGGGTTGAAGACATTTTTTATCCCTTGCTACAATGTATCAGATGCAACCAAAAATGTGAAAATTTGAATTAATTTTGCCCTTGCATGCATTTCAAGACAACTTAGAATTGAGAATCAATAGTGGTTAAGTGATTAGAATTGTTATCCATTCGGTACTGTATAGTACCTCATATCCAAGTCAAAACATATGAGTCTTTTCCAGCATACTTCACTTTGTTTGGGGTTCGAGTGGAAAGAGGCAAAAGCAATTGCAGTTTTTTAGAAACAGCAAGAGTTTTAAATGCTTACACAATTTTGCATCATTTTGTGTTCTATTCTAGAATACTAGTGGGGGAAAATGCTTATTTCAAACAGTTCAATCTATACAAATTACAAAATACAAACACAGCCTATACCCTATAGTGTACAGAATATGCCCTATTTAATACTCATTAAGTGTAGTACAATGAAGATTATTAAATGAAAAGAAACATATACACACAATATTCTCAACTTTTAAATCATTTTAGGCTTGCTAACCAGAGACTACAAATTACAGGTAAAACAACAACAAACAACAACCCAAACCAAATCAAAAAAGCTAACTTCCGATCAAGCATCACACTGATCAAGCATGGCACTTTTATGATCCCACTATCACACTGCTAGTTTCAGCTGGGAATGACTCAAGATATTAAAGTCACTAAAGGCAAAAATCAATTAGATTTTAAAATAAATAATTTTTTCTTTATAAAAGAGCTAAAAATGCTACTTATGCAAATTTACTAACAATTTTTCCGATTAATCCACCCCCGACTTTAGTGCCTTACTTCCTAATTATTCTACCTGCTATTAACAGTCTGATTTTTAAGGCCTGTAATAAACTATTACTATTGAGACAATTTTCTGTGTGGTAAGAATGTGCTTATGAGAAAACAAACTATTAATTATAAATTATAGAATAAACCCCCCAAACAAAAACCTAACATTTCAAGCTAGTATGAAATAAATTAATCCACAATGCATCAATTTAAAATTATATCAATAATGACTAACATTTCCGTGGTAGATCCCTACCCCCTAAAACAAAACAGTGCAGAGTAGGGCTTGGGCTATAGTTAATCACATTTGGTTTTTCTTAAAAACAAGACTTTATTTACTATAAACAAACAAAAGGCAATTTTCTTCCTCCACAACACAGGTAGGCATTAAATCAAAAGCAGCTAAAATATCCACTACCTATAAGAAAAGTACTTTAAAATAACTAAAAGGAATCAAAATACCATAGTTTAGTGTGTGAAGAGTACAATATAAACAACCAAGAAGAGATCATTGGTGCTGAATAATTAACATGAATAGCCCAAAATAAGTTTCAAAGTTTTTCTACCTTTACCAATAAAAAAAGGTGTCCTTTCCAGTTTGAGGATAGGCACAGTACATCCCCCCAACAAGTGTATGAATAAGGTTTTAAAAATGTTGCCAATATTAAGTTCTTCAGTACCTAAAATTAGAGGACAGCAATTCTACAGTGGCAACGGTGCATCAATTCTCAAGACGGAGTTATGATCCAACCCGAGTTGTGGTGGTTCTTTTATCTGAGAAAAAGCTTTTCAGAAGAAACACCTGCCCTATGCTAACGACCAGAAGAATGAGGGCTTCTCCCACTGACCAATAGGCCACTCTGGTGTTTAGATCCTCTGCTCGGCTTCGGCCTTGAGCTTCTCTCAAACGGAAATGAGTCTGATAATCGATGACAGACTTCAGAGCTTCATGAATTGAAACACAGGCAGATTCCATCTAAAGAGAAGTACATTCAATTAGTATGTGAACATCATATGTGTAATTCATCTAGTATCTTTTCTTTCAACTTGACCTCCAGTTCTCATGAGATTATTAACAGGAGATTATACTGGCACTCATTCACTCCCTCAAGTGTGCCAGGGTGCATAATACTTATTCTCAAACACTGGGTAAGATCAGTGATATCCAATCGGCTGCTTTCCCCAAGAGAGGGTCACAGCTATTGACAAAGCTGGAAGCTGACACACCAGCTAATGGCTAATCTGTAAAGGTTGGCAGCTACAGATTTTTAAGTCCAGGGTCTTTTGTTTCTGATTTTGGGCCACACCTGGTGATGCTCAGGGGTTACTCCTGGCTCTGCACTCAGGAATTACTCCGGTGGGCTTGAGGAACCATATGAAATATGTGGGATTGAACCTGGGTCGACTGTGTCCAAGGCAAACGCCCTACCTGCTGTACTACTGCTCTGGCCCCTCAAGTCTAGGATCTTTAAGAGAAAAAATGGCAGAGTAATAAATTGGACCAACCCTAAGAATATAAATCGAAGCCAAATCCATACAAAATAAACTAAATATGGCCTAATACTAGACTGAGTTTTTCTTTATTTTAGAATTACGATAAATCAAAATCCCTAGTCAACTTCTGAATTTGAAAATGACAGGTGAGAGTAAGAAAGTGTTACTGTTAGCAATCTGCTACGCAGATTCCTCATGCCAACACACTACACCATATATCTTTCCCCAGTGGAATGTTTCCATTTCACTTTTCAACATGTTTGTTAGTCTCCACACAATGACATCTTATTTTTCACAATTACACTATTTGCTTTGAGGAGTGTCTAATCTTTTTGTTTTATAATGGAATAGAACACTTTTCTACTGCTAAAAACCACATCCAGGTACGAGGGATGTGGCTGAGTGGTAACACTCAGCTTTGCATGCACGACGCCCTGGGATTCCCTCACTCATATTAGAACTAATAAATTAAAAATAAAAACAATTCTGGAGATGTAACACATGCTTTAAAATTATACTGATTTTATATTGCTAACCACATATAGAGAATTTTAAAAGAGGGCTGGAGCGATAGCACCCCAGGTAGGGCATTTGCCTTGCATGCAGCCAACCCGGGTTCGATTCCCAGCATCCCATATGGTCCCCTAAGTACCGCCAGGAGTAATTCCAAAGTGCATGAGCCAGGTTAAACCCTGTGCATCGTCGGGTATGACCCAAAAAGCAAAAGAAAAAAAGAAAAAAGAAATTTAAAAGAAAATCTGAGTTTGTATTTTAAGTAAGGAATCTAACAGATATTAGAAAATAATTTAAACATCAGGTTTATCAAAGCAACCATCACAGGAATTATAAAACGATTTCACTAAAGATGCTATTAAGTAGTATGGCAATTATGAGGTTTACCACGTTAAATTTATCTAGCAGATTTACTCAAGCTTTGTTTCCATTATTTGTTTTGTTTGGTCTTAGCAAAGAAGCATTAGCCTAACAGTGCTAAAAGGAGTAATTACTAATTTGTGAAGAGGTCAGATATGCTTCTAGCATTTCTCTACTCTCCATATATTCTCAAATTGACACATGATCTGACAATTCCTCCTACTGGAAAATAAACACAAGAGTAAGGATATGACACTAATTGTGTTTTCTTTCTTATGGGTGGGCCTACCCAGCAGAGCTTGGGAACCACATCCAATGATGCTCGAGTGACTGTTTGGTACCAGGGCTTGACCCCAGGAGTTCCACATGCAAAGTATTAAATCTTTGAGCCCTTTCAGCCACCCCATGCCCACTCCAATTAATTTAAAGCAAACCCCAAGTATCAGCTATGTTATCTATTCATAACATTTCAGCTATCCTGTTATAGTTTTTTATTTCTAAAATATAACACTTTAATATAACGCCAACAGCATTTTAGCTATAATCACTTTAAGTAGTTTCTTAAAACAACCAAACACAAAGTCAGTGTTCACAATTCCCGATGTCTCAAAGAGGGTCAGTACCTATTCACTGTTTAAGTTTCTTTTGTCATTTTCCTTGCATGAAGTTCTTCAAATCAAAACAACTGTTTTCTGTTAGATAACTTACCAATAACCTATAATATTTTACTTTACCTTACAGTGAAAGGTACTATAACAATCAGTTTGAGTAAAATTTAAAACTGGCTTTACGGATTATATATATAAATGAAGGCAACCTGCTATGGTATGGCAGCATGCCTCCATGAATTTCAGAAAATGCATCAGGATGCTGGAGCATTCTGCTATCTTACATATCCTTTGACACTGATGTCTGCACCTAAGTGACCCACCTATTTCAAGGCCATTCATTCTTTACACTGAAATTTCAGAAAATCTTGGGGCTTGAGAAATAGTTCAGGGGTTAGGGTGCATGCCTTGCATGCAGTCAACCTGGGTTTGATTCCTGACATCCCATGTGGTCCCTGGAGCACCATCAAGACTAATTCCTGAGTGCAGAGACAGGAGTAACCCCTGAGGGATCACCAGGTATAGACCACCCTCCCCCCAAAAAACCACCCAAAATTCAGAAAATATTTTATTATCACCCTTTAGTAAATGGGGTGTGTGTGTGTGTGTGTGTGTGTGTGTGTGTGTGTGTAAATGCTTAACCCACTGAAAGCATTAAGAAGTCTTAAGGATTATGTTAACTCTCATAATAACTACTTCATCGATGAGTCATAATGTATTTAAATTATGCTTCTCTCCCTTTAAACATATATCTCAACACTGTATTGCTGATTTTTCAGTTACCTGGGTGAGAGCGCTGACCCGGTTCTCACTAGGAAACAAAGGTGGGTCTTCTCCAACTTGAAAATCAAAATACACAGTTTTGTGTGTAAAAGTAGAGAATTCATTGCTGAAACAAAATTTGTATGTCCCATTTCTGGAGGCTGTGAAGGTAAAGCTGTCATACTGTTTCTTCATCTCTTTGTACAACACATTACCATCAGGATCTTCTAAACGACAGTCTACATCATAGTGACCACCAGTAATCACCTATAAAGAAACAAAAAAGAGGAGATAACTGCAATTAACAAGTGAGAGGAATAATTCACTTTTCTGTTGAACTCAATCTACTCAAGATTATCTTGGAAACAGCATAGGCAGACTTGGACTTCCAAGTCAAACTCTTGGACTTCTAAATTACTGACATATAATACCTACCCACCCCAAATTTTCTTATTTCCTGTTACCATCATCTAAGTACACCCAATGCACTTTCATGAAACACTAAAGGAGGTGAGGCATAATAGCCCATGCATGTCATCTATCATAGAAATTAAACTCATTTTACTGCCAATGTTTTGTTTTGAACTGCACTATGAATAGACTTGTGGGCTATTCTGAGATTATACCATCATTTACAAATTTGTCTCTGGGAGAAACATAAATGAGTAAACGAGTATCATTTAAACATTTGTGAATAAAACAAAAGAACAACAGAACAACACAAAGCAAACTGGTCTTTTGGTATTCAGAAAGGAGGTAGTGAAATTTGGTATTCAGAAAAGAGGTAGTGAAATGCCAGGAGGTGGTGAAATGCTTCCGAGGATTCTGGAGCTATTTAACAGGTTTGTGTTAATCACCTGCAGCACGTGTCACTCGGGTTGCACAAATGAAGAGGAGAAAACGTTTTCCTGAGGTAAGTGGACAGACGAGAGAAAGGGGGAAAAGCCTAAAGAAGAGAAAGGCCTGCTTAAATGTGAAGGAAGTGAAGGGAATAGAGAAATGAGAAAAAAGTGGGTGCCTGTATCCACTCGAGGTACATATGATGAGGAAGGAATGCTTCTCAACCACCATGAGGCCGAGTGGCATAAGTACAAGCTCTCATGGTTAACACAGTATTGACACTCTGGTCTGTAAAACAGAAGGATAACCTTTGGACTCAAAGGATCGGTTATTTATCTGACCTTTTGTCACTTAGCAAGAGATATGATAAATAACTACATTAAGGATTATTTAATACTTCAATGATATAAAATTATGTATTCAAGTAGGTAAATAGTAATACAGAGAAACAATTTTTAGTCCAATGTGTTTTCATCAATTAGGCATTACCAATCCCTCTCTCTCGAGGTCAACACCCTTTCCGCCAGGTGAAAAGAATGATTTCATTTTTATTTACTCAACTATTCATACTCGCCTACCATTCTTAGAATAATCAAATAAATACACCCATACAATCTGAAGACTTGATGTGACCCAACCCCCCCCCCCCCATCACCATGGGGGGGGGGTTGGGTCACATCAGGCTATACTCAGGGTTTAATCTGGCTCTGGACTCAGGGATTACTCCCGACAATGCCCAGGGGATCATACACGGTGCTAGGGATGGAACCCAAGTCAGCTGCGTTCAAGGCAAGTGCCCTACCTGATAATGTACAGAGCAATAGTGTATTGCTCTTGGTACTTTAAGGCATCTTCATCAGATTTTGAAACAAATATAATCCTGTATTAGAGAAGTATATCCCCTTCACAAACTCTGGTCAATAAAATAAAATTGGGATTAGACCAAATTAAGTGTCCCTACCTGTCCAACTAATCACAAAAATCTCGATTTTTGCCTCTCAAATCATCATTTCTCTTCCGCTCCCAATTCACAGTCCAGACAACACTATTGTCATTGTACATCCCAACCTCTCTTCCCTCTAGTCCAAGTTTTCTATTCAATTAGATCATTCTGAGCCGGGTAAATTGTTACTGTGAGGTTCAGGGCTGCCCTCTCTTATGCCAAAAGTTCAGAAAGCATGAGCTTCTCCTTTGGACTGGATTGTGGCTGCACATACTCTCAGGCCATCTTCCTAACAAGACAGACTGTGGAATCAGAGAGCCCCAACTAGTCTCTAGCTGGTTTTTTTTTTTTTTTTTTTTTTTTGCTAGTCACACAGGCATCATTCTGAGTGTCACCAGTCTCAACAGCAGAAGCTGGGATGGGAATGGGAGTTGACCAACAGATCAGGTACAAACCAACACTCTTACTATACTCATAAACTTCACTGACAAAGTGGGACCCAGCCACCCTAGAGTCCTCAGAATCAGCGTCTCGAACCAACACTGCTAATGATAAGACTCTTAATGCAGGTCAATGTCTGCTCAAACTAATTTCAGCCTCCTGGAATTAAGACAAATATATCTGTTAGAAAATCCTTTTGTTTCTGCTACTTGGCAGAGTAACTCCGATTTATCCTCTTCACTCAAATGTCAGCCCCTCAGCTCAATTCTCCTGATGATCCGGGCCAGCAGGAAACCGAGTGTGGTAGTTAATCATTGCATTTTAAATTAGACAAGTGTATGTACAGATGTAAACATTGAACTAAGGGTCAGTCTTATCTATTCTTTGGAAGGTAACTTACAAAGTAGTTAAGAATTTAACCTGGGACTGCATACTGGTTTCTCCTATTTGCTTCATCATGATCCTGGGTCTTAATTATCTGAATCTCAGATTCTTTATCAGTAAAAAAAGGGAAAAAAAAAACTATAGTTACTTCCTAGCTATTTGTCCTCAGAATGAAGCAATATATTTGAAATGCTAGACTGAGTGTACATCACATAACAGACATTACAATTTTTAGTTATAATATTACAGGGGGGAGATAGCATAACCATTACAAAGTGATTCGCACGCTAGGCATGTGTCCAACCCACAGCACTGCATGGTCTCTTAAGCATCCCTGTGTTGCAACTTGGAGGCCAACCCACTCCTCCCTGCCCCAGCACTGCCGGATGCGGCCCTTGCACAGAACAGCCTGCCCAATTTGGCTGAGAATCGCTGGTGTAGCCCCGAATGTCCTGAGCACTGCTGGGAAGTCATCCTTTCCCTTAAATAAGAGTATTTCACGACCAAAGTGTCTGCACATGAGAACTCAAGAAATGTTTGCTCAAGTCAGAGCTTTGGCTGCCACTTTATACATCTCCTGATATTTTCTTCTCTGCCCCCAGTCCTAACCCAGGAAATTAAACAAACCTAATAGCGGCCCTGTGCTTCCTCTCCGTTCCTATTTCATAGTATCACCAAACCAAACATCACGTCCCACTGATGCTGCCTACCAAATTCTAATTCTTTCACTGTTCCCCTTCCCCAACTGCTACACCCAGAGCTAAGCAGCCTTTGAATTGGTCTTCCACACCCACTCCATAATACCTACCCTACCAACACAATTTCCTTACCACTCAGCTCCAAGGGCTACGTGCATGTCACTCCCCTTCTTAAAACCCCCTGAAGACTTTCCACACCCTTTAGAAAAGATGAAATCCTTTCCAGGGCCAATAAAGCATGGTGGAGTACTTACTTACAATGATACTGGACCTCTCTATGGTGCTGAAGTTTGAAAACGTACCTAGCAAAGGCAAATGATCATTTCTTCTTCATCTAAATACCAAAGTATGGGGGTCAGAGAGACAGTATATAGTGTTTGCCTTGCATGCCGCTAACTCCAATTTGTATCTCTGGACCACATAAGGTCCCCCAGAGATAAGGCCTGAGGACTGCAGGATGTAGTCCAAAACTAAATATCAAAGTATCTAAAATTCATTTACAGTTTATTTAAAACTGTATATATATATGTGTATACACACACACACGTATATATATATGGGCTGGAGCGATAGTACAGTGGGTAGGGTATTTGCCTTACACGCAGCCAACATGGCTGACCCGAGTTCGATTCCTCCGCCCCTCTCGGAGAGCCCGGCAAGCTACCAAGAGTATCTTGTCCGCAGGGAAAGCCTGGCAAGCTCCCTGTGAAGTATTCGATATGCCAAACACAGTAACAAGTCTCACAATGTTACTGGGCCCGCTCGAGCAAATCGATGAACAATGGGAGAACCGTGACTGTGATATATATATATATACATATATATATATATCCACCAGACTGCATATCTTCATATGTTATGCTCTTAAAGCAAAACAAATAAGCAGGCACTATTAAGAAAAAAAAGAGTAGAAATGGGAAAGCAAATCAAGAATGGCAGCAGCAATCCTATCTGTTCAGATCATTTCTGCATCGCCACCAATGTGAGTACCAACAGAAATGAAAACAACCTCCTCATCATGCAAGATGGCAGGAGGAAAAGATGCAATCACAAAAGAGACATTTGAAGCCAGGAAGGCAGTTGCTAGTGGTGAGGTGAAGAAACTGGCCCAGGCCATGGGTCTCATCAAGCAGCACCATCAGAGCAGCAGGGCACCACCCCTGCTATGCTAGGGGTGATCCTGCTCCAGAGCAGGAGTTTGCATAGGGAGTCCACCGCTGCCAAAAGAATTTTGTTTTGTTTTGGGGCCACACCGGGCAATGCTCAGGGTTTACTACTGGCTCTGTGCTTGGAGATCACTCCTGGCAAGGCTCAGGGGACCACGTGAGGTGTCAGGGGACCACGTGCAAGGCAAGTTCTCTACTGGCTGTACTATCACACTGGCCCCAAAGATTTGAAGAATCACATAAAGGCTAACCCCAAAACCAACACGCTTGAGAAAGCCTAATTCACTGCTGGTGAAATGCCATCCTAGACAGAGGAGTTGGATGATCTCTATCTGCTACGTAAGCTGGATATGCCACAAGTTTTCAGCAGCTAAGGCCAGAGTTGAAAAGGGTAAAAAGAAAGCCCTTACCACTGTCACAAAGCCAGTAGGCAAAGGCCAGGGAAGTGGATGGGTCCTATAAATTGCCTAGATACTATCTGAAGATGTGCTTTGAAAGGAAGTTGTTACTCCAACCAGAGCCCAAACCCATCACCCTCACTGGGCGCACCTCAGCAGCAAGTGGGGGTTTGACCTGGAGCCGCTGGGCAGTGTTTTCTGCTAGTGTGGTCAGGCCTCGACTTCTTCCTACAACGGACCGGAAATCTGTCATTGCCACCCCCAATGAAATTGGTTTCAGTGGTGTGAAATCCCCTATCAGCGCGATGGACGCTTGCTTCAAAAGAAGAAACCCCTGTCGGCGCGGCCAACAGGAAGGCAAGGCCTTGGACACAGGATAACTATCAGGATCTATCAGGATCGCAGAGCGGAAAACTCTGCCCTCCCCCCCTCCCCTCCGCGCCCCGGCCCCCTCTGCACGAACACAGCTCCTCCTCGGAAAGTCACTAATGCCATCCACGCCCACCAAGTGGGCTTATGGCTTCTAAAGAATCTCATTAAATAACCGATCCGGCTTAACAAAATAAAAATAAAACCAACTTGTTTAACGGGCATCAACAAGTATCCCCCCCTCCCCCGCATACAATCAAAGATGAGCAAGGGGCGTCTCGTGTTCACAAGGCAATTCTTCCTACACCTTTGCAGGCGGTCACCCCTCGCTAGTGGAGCTCCTCCTTCCAGTGCCCGAGCTGGCATCAGTCTCTGCATCAGGGGGGAGGGGGCGGGGAAAAAACCACCAAGACGCGACCGAGTGTGGATGTGGCGGGGGTGTGGCCGGCGCGGGGGGGGCACAAAGGTGAGTGTCTGAAGGAGGAGAGGAGAGCCAACGGGGCCGGAGGAGGAGGCGCAGGAGACGTTCCCGGAACCCACAGATCCTGATCCCTGCGACCGAGTTACCTCGACCCAGGTCCCGGGAGCCTGAGGCAGCGGGGAGGCGGGGGGGTGGGGGGAGCTGCCCGGAGGGCCGCCCGCGGTACCTGGAACTCGAGGGTGCACTTGGTGCCCTGCGTGATGTCCTCGTAGAAGCACTGCTTGGCGTTGTCGGGCAGCTCGAAGGTGATCTCGGAGGCGGCGCCGGGCCCCGGGACGAGCAGCAGCAGCGCCAGCAGCCTGCAGCCCCAGCGGCCCGCGGCGGCCGCCCACCGCCCGGCCGGGCCGGGTCGCGCCATCCCGTCGAGAGTCGTGCGGTCCGCGCTCGCTCGCTCGGGGCCCCGGGGAGGTTCGGGCCGACCGGACGGCCACCGGGGACGGGGCACGGGCGCTGCGCGAGCGGGCTGGGGAAGCCGAAGGCCGGGAAGCCGGGACGGGACCGATACAGCGCAGGCGGAAAAGGCCCGAGAAGGCCGGAAGTGGGGGCGGGAGCTCGGAAAGGGGCGGGCCCAGAGGCACCTGCTCGGCGACCCGGAAGCGCTCTCCCGGCAGGGGCGGGGCGACAGGCCGGAGAGCGTGTACGTGGACGCTGGGGAGGCCGCGCTGGGGCGCGCCGCAGCCTGGCGGGGCGGGGCCGGAGAGGGGGCGGGGCCACGCTGTCTGGGCGGGGCCTGCCACCCCAGTTGGCTGCTCCGAGCAGCCGTAGGAGCTGTAGGTCTGAGACCGCTCAAGTCAGTGGACAGCACCCAGGAGGCTTTGAAGCGCGCATCCTGTACCCGAGGACTCAACCCCTTTGTTTAGAGCGCTTTGCAATTTGTAGAGCTGGTTTCTTGTTTTAGGAGCGCGAGTTCTAGGAACACCCAAGCGCAGGTTTTAATTAGCTCCTTAATCAATGCGACCTCTTGACATCTCAAACTCAACACCACTGTAAAACCAGTAGTAGCAAACCGTATTGGATGGGCTGTAAAGTAGAAAGCAACTAATTTCAATTAAGAAACTATAAACACACAAGGCTTAACCGGTAACAACATGTGAGTAATCTCTTCTACGAAGGCTTAATGGTTCCATGGTGAGATACAACAATGTTCACACACCTTCTTCTAAGGAAATAATTTTTTAAAAATCATTTTTAGCAAATTATAACAAGCAATATAAAATAAATTATTTCAGGGCCTGCTATAAGGGCAGGCTTGAAGGGTGGTTGGAAAATTGGAAATAATGGTGGTGGGATTGGTGTTCAATGTAATAAATCATAAACAACTTAATAATTATCTCCTTACTCTGCTCCAGTCTTAAATGTGTTAAATAAGGATAATAATAGGACCTCCCTATAGGATTATTACATGGTCTCAGTTTATGGGGCATGAACCAGAAACAAGTGTTATTTATTCCACCTGTGGGTAGAAGGAAGATAAAACTTCAAAGAAAAAGGGGGTGCTGTTTTTGATTCTTCACTTGGAGCAAGTAGTATTACTATTCCATATCTTCATTTATTTACCTTAAGTGGCAACACCAACATAAAGAGTGAATGGATGAGAAAGATTAAAATTGCAATATATCACACACCAACTGTCATCCCATTAACTGTCATCACACACCAACATATAAGAAAAAAAAATTTGTGTGTGGCCACACCAGTGAGCATGTATGGCAGCAAGGTTCCTCATAGAAAGCTGATCTGTCGGTGCACAGATCACCTGACTCCACATGGCCATGGGTGGCTTGCTTTCCTGGGGAATACTCTTGTCGGGACAACTGGAACCTGTGTGTTCACGGGAATCAAAAAAGCTACTTGTGGGACTGGAGTGATAGCACAGCGGGTAGGGTGTTTAGCTTGCACGTGGCCGACCTGGGTTCGATTCCCATATGGTGCCATATGGTCCCCGAGCACCGCCAAGACTAATTCCTGAGTGCAGAGCCAGGAGTAACCACTGAGCCTCGCTGGATGTGACCCAAAAAGAAAAAAAAAAAAGCTAGTCGTTACTTTTTTTTAAGTTTTGATTTTGGTTTGGAGGCCACATCTGGCAGTGCTTGGGCTTACTTAAGGCTCTGGCTCAGGAATCACTCCTGGCATGCTCTAGGAACTCTAAGGGTTTTGGGGGATCCAACCTGGGATGGAGTTTCGTGCGAAACAAGGTCATCAGGTCATCACCTGCTATACTATCTCTCTGGCTCTGAAATATGCTACCTTTAATCTGGAGTGGAGAAAAGATTGGGGAGGTTGAAATAGTAGAAAAACAAAAATCGTGCCAGTTTGGAATAATCTGCAAATTACTTTAAAATCTGAACCACCTTCCACAATTTAACCTAGAGATTTTCAAACTTCATTGCTGAAAATTAACTTGTAATGAGAGTTAAAGTCAGACTCAATGTAACTCTTAGCAGTAAACTGGAGTGGGGAAATTGGGCCACTCCCAGCAGTGCTCAGGGGCTATTCCTGGCTCTGTGCTCAGGGGTGGGGGGAAGGGGGCTGTATGCAGGTCCAGGACTAAGCCCTGAGCAGTGTGTGGTCCCAGAGCTGAATGTGGTCCCAGAGCAGACAAACAAATCAGAGAAGCTTCAAGTGACAAGTCTGAGGAGGGAGGAACACTTCCGTGATTAGGGGTTTGTGGGAAGACTAGAAATGACAGTGTTTTCAGTTCTACCTGTCATTTGAATTCTCATGCTTTGAAAGAAGAAAATCCTGAAAATGTGTTGGAGAAATTTAGAAGTCAAGTCAGTCTCTGTTCTATTTTTAGAACGTTCTAGTATTTTAAATTAAAACTATAAGATACACTCTATATTTTTAATAAAAATTCAAGCAATTTCCCTGTCACCAGCAATATGTTTTCACTTCTTTAAAAACCCATTAAATTAATTTGCATGAGGACTAAAAGTTCAAAGGTATTTGATCGTTGAACACTTAATGAGCTCATCAATGCTAAAATTATATGTTGCACCAGAACACTACACAGTATCAGCTATGAATTTTTTCCTCCTACAATGAATATGTGCAGTGATGTAAATGAACTTTTCACAAACCATTTAAAAATAGACCGTAGAGGTTAAGAAATTAAAATGCTATAAAACGCAGCAATTAAACCATTTCTAATTGCTCCTGGTGAAGTTTGATGGAGGGAGAGAAGGGAAACTAGCTCAGACAAAGGGTTAATGATGGGCGAGATTTGAGTGAGCAAGTGATTTGAGTAAGCGAGTGGTGGTAGTTGCTGAAGGCCTGTTGAGTTTCAAATTTAAGGAATAGGTGGAAATGCCTCTGAACTTGACGATGAAGGCTCTCAAATAAATTAATTACTAAATTAAATAAAAACAGGGCCTGGGGAGATAGTACAGGAGGAAGTACTTGACTTACATGTGATTGATGCTGATTTGATCATTTGTTGCATATGGTTCCCCGAGTGTTGCCAGGAGTGACTCCTGTGCTCTCAGAGCCAGGAGTAAGCTCCTAAACTAACCAACTGATTTTGTAGCATTGTAGCACAGTCCTCCCTTTGTTCACTGATTTGCTCAAGCAGGCACCAGTAATGTTTCCATTGTGAGGCTTGTTGTTACTGTTTTTGGCATATTGAACATGTCAAAATTCGGGTATAGCTTGCCAGGCTTTGCCCTGCAGGCGGGATACTCTCGGTAGCTTGCCAGGCTGAGGAATCGAACCGGGTTGGCCACGTGCAAGGCAAACACCCTACCCGCTGTGCTATTGCTCCAGCCCAACCAACTAATTAATTAAACAAATAAAAACAAAAATAAAAACAAACATCAAAGAATCCTTCAAGCTAGACAGTGCTCCTTTATCTTGAGCTGCACAACTCCTGGAAAGACCACAGGAGATGCATTTTTGAATACATATGCTCACTTCATGATCACAATTATTTACACTTCTTCAAGCTCTAAAACAGCTTCTTAGGGGACAGAAGATAATATAGCAGGTAAGGTGTTTACCTGCTGACCCAGGTTCCATCTCTGGTACTCCATATGGGCCCCTTAGCAATTCCAGGTATGGTCCAAAAATCTCCTCCCCCCCAAATAAAAGAAAATAGTACAAATAAAAATAAATTAGCTTTTAAACATTTGGCATGTGGGTATTTGGAGGTGTCCTTTGTGCCTTTTCCTCCTCTTCCTTTTTCTACATTTTCTGAGTCAAAAACTCAAAACTCCAGCCCAGAGCCGTGGATATGGCTCAAGTGGTAGAGCACATGTTTCACATGTATACACACACCAAAAGAATTAAGTTGAACAATTACTTTTCTTACTTTGAATGTGTGAGGCTTTGGGTGCAATCCCAACCCCACAAAAGATGAATGAAGTATCTCTTAATTTTCCTTATGGGGCTACTGCTCTGTGTGTGTGTGTGTGTGTGTGTGTGTGTGTGTGTGTGTGCACATGCACATGCCTGTGTGGTTTTATATAAACTCACATCTCTATGACTACAAGCCTGGAAATGTTTGATTGGTGTTTTGAGTTCTCCTTTTTCTCCAAAAGTTGGTGATCAGCAACAACTAGGCAGGATAAATTTCCTAAAACCATTTCTAATTAAGGTCTCACTCCATTTAGGCTGCCATGCCAAGAGGTCACAGACTGGCTTAGATTGTAAACATAAATGTTTTTGTCACAGTCCCAGAGACAGAGAAATCAGTTCCAATTTTCAGCATCGGTGACTTCAGGTGAAGTTCTCTTTTTCTGGCTCACAGTACTTTCTTGCTGTGTCCTCATATGATGGAAGGATGAAGGTCCCTGTGAGGTTTCTTTTTTTTTTTTTAAATTGAATCGCCATAAGACACAGTTACAAAACTTTCATGTTTGAGCACTCATCCCTCTACCAATGGACATTCTCCAGCACCAAGGTCCCCAGTATACCTCTCCGCCTTTCCAACCCTTCCCCTGCCTCTATGGCAGACAAATTCCCCTGGGTTTCTTTTATAACAGCATTAATATCATTCATAAAGATTTCCTCATATCATTCAGTTACCCCTTGAAGGCTGTACTTCCTAATATCACCCAGTGTGGGGAGGAGGGTTAGAATTTCAACATATGAATTTTGGGGAGGTGGACACAGACACAGCATTTGATACTGAGGAGATGTTATCACATACAGCCCTATGAATTGAGGGATCAATGATCCATTCTATCTTGAAAGAATCTGAGCTAGGTCTGTGAGGTACTATGTATTTTCTCCTCCAGATGTGGGAGATCATGTGATCTGTAGATTATCTGGTGGACACATGCAAATTTGTTTTAGTGGGTTGATTCAGAGTGAATTTGGAAATTTGCAATCTTCAGGTGATGAGAATTCAAAAATGGGTGATGCTCCCCATGAATTGCATCCTAGTGAAGACTTGTCTGAAAGCTATGGCATGGAAGATGAAGTCCAGTGGACATGTTGGTTCATAACTTTTCATTGTTCTTTCATCTAGTTGAAGTTAAGGATACAGAGACATGCCCAAAGAAAACATATGTATGCTCTTGT